CTGGTGCTGAACTGCTCAGTGACCATGGGAACAGGTCCCCTGTCCTTCTCCTGGCACCGGGAGAGCTCAGGGGCACTACTGGGCACCAGCCCCCGCCTGGAGCTGCGCCACATTGGGGACAATGACAGCGGCCAGTACCGGTGCCGGGTCAGCGACGGGGACAGCGTGGCTGAGAGTGACCCCATGAATGTCACCATCCTGTGTGAGCGGGACCCTCGGGTTGGGGGTGAGCCCACCCAGAGCACTCCCATCCCACCCTGCCATTTGTCAGCCCTGTCTGTGTCCCCACTATGCCCGTGGCCAATGCCACCATCACCCCTCGTCCCCTGTCACACCAGGTGCGCGCAGGTGACAACGTGACCCTGCACTGCTCAGTGCAGGTGGGCTCAGCCCCTGTCACCTTCACCTGGCTGTGTGACGGCCAGAAGGTGGCCCAGGGTCCCCTCCTGCAGCTCAATGATGTTGAAGTGGGACATTCGGGCACCTACCAGTGCGTGGCCACCAACCAGCTGGGACAGGATGGGCACCGCATGTTCCAGGCACTCAGCCCAGAGCTGGCACTGGAGGTGACACCTGGCTCACCCTGGGTCACAGGTGGGGTCACACAGGTGGGGTCACCAGGGAGTACAGGACCCCTGGGGGATGGGTAACCCTGATGTGTCCCCCTCTGTTTCTTGCAGTGGCTGCAGGGGTTGCTGGGGCCCTTTCCTTCCTGGTCCTCCTCATGGCTGTCACTGTCACCTGGCACTGGTGGCATCGTGTGGGTGGGTGACAATGGGAGACGGGGGTCCCAGGGAGCTGTAGAGGCCCACAGAATTGGGGAACCATAGGTGACGACCCACATACCCACAACTGTGACTTTGGCTGAGGGTCCTGTAGGGTTTGGGGAGGTGCTGGAGGGTCCTGCAGGGATGCTGGGGGGTCTTTCAGGGGCCCTGGGGGTGTTCGGGGGTCTCTGTCCCTGCTGGGCTTTGGGTTCTTGAGGGTGATTTGTTTGGGGCCACTGGGGAGGTTCATGAATTCTGGGGGGCTGCAGGGATTCTTGGGGGTCCTGAGGGGAATTGAGGGTCCCGTGGAGGTACAGGATTCCTAAGGGGTTTCAGGGCCCTGGGGACTCCTCAATCACCCCGTTCCTCTTTCGTCTGCAGCTGCCAGGAAGCACCAGGAAAGGTGAGTAGGGGGCTCAAACCACACTATCCCCTATTTACACCAACCCCCAAGACCTCCCATTCCCCTCCCCACATCCCCTTTATTCCCAAAGGGCCCCCCCGGATCCCCTGGCCCCCTCAGAGGAGGGGGAGGTGCTGTACACCCACGTCGTGGTCACCAAGAGGGCAGGGGGTGAGTATGGGGGGGACACACGCAGAGGGACACGTCACCCACCAGTGTCACCCCACCCAGATCCCACAGCCCGTGTCTCTCGCAGCGTCCCCCCGTGCCACCACCCTCCAGGATCCCCAGGTGACCAACGCGGAGCTGTGGGGACCTCAGGGGCGACCACGGGAACCCGGTGACATCTACGGGAATGTGCTGTGACACTGGGGGGAACTGGGGGCACTGGGGGTCCCCACCCATGGGCACCCACTCGTGTTTGTGCTGCCACTAAAAACTGTCCTAATCCCTCCCCGTGGGGGCACAAAGATCTCAAAGGTCTGAAAGAAGAACAATTTCCTGAAACAGCAATGAGAGAGAATTAAACCAACAGCAACAAGGTTCAGAGTCCAAATGGTCAAAAAATGAACAATTTCCTTGGAAAGCCCCCAAAAAGGAAAAAACCCCAGATGTTTCCCCCAGCACGTTTCCTCCACCAGAGGAACCTGGCAGGGCCTCGACCTTCCTTGCTCTGATGGCTACAGCGGCCTTCAGGAGGCTCTGGATTCTCTTCTCCCCTGACCCAAACCCCTCCTCTGCCCTTTTCCCAACACGAGGATGTCACAAAAGCCAAGGGGGGGTTCTGGAGCCTCCGCCTTTTCCAGGGCAGTCAGGATCAGGCCATGGCACAGGGCGGGGTGTAAGAGACAGGCAAAGTTTGATGTCTGGAGACATTTTGAAACACCTGTGTGTAGCAGGGGTGGGTCAGGCCTTGCTTTTCGTGAGACAGGGCCCTGCCTGTCCATCAGTCTGTCAGCCACAGCACACTGGGGACAGTGGGATGCTCTTCCAAAGCCAGCTCCTGAGTGGCCGGGTGACCAGAAGTGCCAGCTGGGGAGAGGGCCCTTGGTGGCCCAACTGGCTTAAAGGGTAGAGCATAAGGTAGTCAAGTCCCTGACCGTGTCTCCTCTTGGGTTGTCTGTCCCATCCACGCTGGAACCCAAGAGTTGGCAACTCATTTAAATGAGAAATACCTACCCAGGAAATTGGGAATGTTTCTGGAATGGAAAGAAGACCCATCTCTAAAAGTTTTTTTAGTTTAAGAAATGATGAAGCTTCCAGGCAAAAGTGTAGGAAAAGGAGTAAGTCCTCTATACCAAGAAATTTATAAAGCAGAACAGAACAAACAACACAAACCCAGAACTTTCCCTCCTGCTCAGCGCTGTTGGGTTTTGTGGCAGTTATAACCGCGGCCAGCAGGGGGCGCTGCAGGGAGCACTCCCGGCCAGCAGGGGGCGCCCCGCTCCAGCTCCATCCCCTCAGGGGCCATGGCGGCCTCGGCCGGGAGGCAGGAGGGCAAATCGCTCCTTTTGCAAACTCACGGCCACCAATCGGTCCCGGCACCACCGCCGGCAGCGGGCAGAAGCCGCCAAGGCAGCAGGTTGGATCCCAGTGCCCACTGGCAGCGTAGCAGTGTCCCGGGGCCAGGCACACGCCCTGCACAACACCCGCGACCGCTCTCCATGATCCTGAATGGAAGGAAGGCAGCGCCTGACCCCAGGCAGGTGTCGTGTCCACAGTAGCACCTCTGGTGGCTTTGTGGCACAATTCCTGCAAACCCTGAGCCTTTCACTCAGGTGAGGAGGGCAGGAATGGAGCAGCTTTGTGGACACCTGGAATCCAGACAGGGTCACTCCCCACAGCCCCACCATGGCTGCAGGGCCGCCCCCCTGCTCAATATTTCCACACATATACCACTTATCTGGCAGCCAAACCAGAACCCAGATATTTTTCCCGGGATGTTACAAAGGGCTGCAGGCTCTACACAGGTAGGAGGATGGACCCAGGCAGGTTGTTGAGCAGATTGTTGTGGGATTTGCAGAGTTTTTTGGGCTCTCTCAGAACCTTGCTGTAAGGGACAAAATGATCAATTGCTGCATTTCTGGACTCATTGCCTCGCAGCTTCCCCTGCAAGGGCAATTTCCAGCCAGCCCTGCTCTGAAAACCATCAAAGGCCCTCCTAGAGCCACTGCTTGGGCTCCCCTTGGGGTTTTGTGCTTCTTGCAGGGCTGTGCAAACCACAGGCAGGGCCTTTTTCCCCCACAGAATTCTCACCTCTGCAGAAGCTCTAAAGCTGCCAGAATCAAAGCCAAGGGGGCAGGGGGGACCCTCAGGTGCTGGCTGCCAGCTGGGGCTGGGCAGAGCAGGGCTGGGCAATGGCCATCCCTGTGCAGTGGGGCTGGGCCATGGCTGGGCCCCAGCCTTGCATTGACAGGGGTCCCCAGGATGTGCCACCCCTGGGACAGGCACCCGGCCAGGAATGTGCAGGGACATTTCTGGAACTGCCATCCCTGGGACAGGAGCCCCCATGCCAGGATGTGTCACCCCCTGGGACAGGATCCCCCCAGGACAGGAGCCTCTGGATGTGCCACCCCTGGGACAGGCACCCGGCCAGGAATGTGCAGGGACATTTCCGGAACTGCCATCCCTGGGACAGGAGCCCCCATGCCAGGATGTGTCACCCCCTGGGACAGGATCCCCCCAGGACAGGAGCCTCTGGATGTGCCACCCCAGGACAGAACCCCCCCTTTCCCATCTGACTCTCAGCACAAACGGCCTCTTCCTTCTTGTCCAGGAAAAGGAAAGTGAAAGTGTTGAGGGGGCACAGCCCAACACCTCCATCCCCCCCAGCCTCCCCACCATTCCCTGCACCCCCTGCTCCCCATTTTCCTCCTCCCCTGGCTCCCCCCAATCCATTCCCTGCTCAGGTGCTCCCCGGGATTGCTGAGCCAGGAACGGGGGCAGAGGGGACCTGGCACAAAAGTGAGGAAAATAAGGAAAAAAGAGAAATAAAGAGAGGAAAAAGTCAAGGGCAGGGGAGGGCACAGAGGCAGAGCTACCCAGGACCCCCATGTGATGCCTGCACAGGAAATGAGCACCCCAGGGGTGGCAGTGCTGGGCCCTGGGTCACACCAAAATCTGAGGCACCCAGGGAAGGAGCTGTGATCCCTGTGTCCATCAAGCCACTGCCCATCCCTGGCATCTCCGTTCCCCTGGACTCCAACCTTGGGACCCAATTTCCTTCTGTCCCACATTGCCTGGGAGCCCCATCCCTGTACTGACATTCCCCAGGATCTCCATGGCCCAGGAACCCATTCCCAAGGAACCCTCTCCTGCTCATTCCAAGCCCTGAAATCTCCCATCCCCCAGGACCTTCATCCTCTCAGCTCCCCCATTCACCCATCATCCACATCCAAAGAACCCCCATCCCATGACTCCAAATCCCTGGAGCTCACGTTCCATTAGGATTCCTATCCCTGAGTCTCCCCAGCCCTAGGATCCATATTTCCATGCCCCCCACCCCAATCCTAGGTGACTCCCCCTCTTCAGGACCCCCATTGTTCAGGGACCCCATCCCTGGGACCCCCCATTCTCCTGCACACTCATCCCTGACTCCCCAAACCCATTGAGCCCCCCCCTCCTTGGAACTCCATGTCCCACCTTGTCCCACCCAGCCTTGTCCCCAGCCTGTCCCCAGTTTGTGGCCACCCTGCCCCCACCAAGGGCCACCTACACATGGGGACGGACGTGACCTCGCTTCCTTCCCCTTCATCCAAAGAGCCGCCAGCCAGGGGAGCGGTGGCCACAGCAGCGAGTGACAGCCAGTGCACATGGCTGGGGACACCGGGATGGCCGGGAAGGTGGCGCTGCTCCTGTGGGGTGAGTGCCCCGGGCATGGGCCTGACAACCCGGGGATGGGGAGGGGAGGGGGCACAGGGGGGCTGTGGGGTCCCCTGAGGTCTCCAATGCCAGCAGTGCCAGAGCATGAGGTCACCAGAGCCATGGGGTGGATGTGGGGATAGAGGAAGGGGGACAGGAATGTACTGCTGTCCACATGGGGACAGTTTGGGGACATCTCCCACACCCTGTGCCCCCGGTGCCTCTGTCCCCATGGTACCACCCCCACCCAGCCCTGTCCCTTCTCCCTTCCAGCCCAGACCCTCGGCCTTGCTGGTGAGTCCTCGGGGGATGCCATGGCCCTACCCCACTGTCCCCAGCCCCACACTGGCCATGGCAGGCTGGTGTCCCCTATCACCCACAGGTGCCCAGACCACCCAGCTCCTGGTGGAGCCCCCCTGGAGGCCGGCGGTGCTGTGGGACCGGGTGACACTGACCTGCCAGGGCTTGGGGACCGCTGGTGCCACAACTTGGTACAAGGATGGGCAGCGCTGGGGGCAGCAGGGACTCGACCACCTGAGTGTCACTGAGAGTGGCACCTACACGTGTGACAGACCTGGCAGTGGGCACAGCCCCCCCGTCAGAGTCTTAGATGGTGAGTGGGGATCTTAAATCATCTGGGTGGCCGCTGATAGATCTGGGTGGGCTCCACTCTGTGGGTGGCCTCACACCCCTTGTGTGGTGCCCTGCACACAGGAACATCCCAGTTCATCCCAGTGCACCCACATGTCCCCAGTGCCATGGGGACTCTCCTTGCACCTGTCTCAAGCCTCTCAGTGAGATGGGACCCTCCTGTCCCACAGATGAGCTGGTGCTGCAGGTGCCAGCACGGGCACTGCTGGAGGGGGACACAGTGACCCTGCGCTGCCGGGGCTGGCAGGACAACCCAGTCACCAGGGTGCAATTTTACCGGGAGGAGAAGGATCTGTGGGGGTCCCTCAGGGGAACCGAGCTGTTGCTGTCCCCCCTGCAGCTGCACCACAGCGGTCACTACAGCTGCAGTGGCTTTGTGAAGCCCTTTCATTCACGGTCAGCAGCAGTGACAGTGACAGTGCACGGTGAGCACCCCCACAGTTGGAATTCTGATCTCCTGACACCTCCAAAGCCCCTTCCCAGCAGACTCAGAGTCACAGTCCTCACCTCCCCTCTCCTTCCCTGAGCTCTTCTCAGTGCTGGTGCGTGAGGGTCCCCCCATGCCCACCGAGGGATCCCCCCTGACTCTCAGCTGCCTCAGCACCCCCAGCCCCCTGAGGCCCCGAGCCCCCCTCATGCACGTGTTCTACCGGGACGGGCAGGTGGTGGGGGGCCTGCAGGGGTCCCCGCAGCTGCTGGTGCCCGCCCTGGGGGTCTCCTACTCGGGGAATTACAGCTGCCAGGTGCACTCTGAGGGGGGGTCGTGCAGAAGAGCAGAGCCCGGCTCCGTGTAACGGTGCACAGTGAGTGCGGGGATGGGCATGGGGAGCCCTCACGGTCTGTTTGGGTCCCCCATCACTGTCTGGGGACCTCCATCAGTGCCAGGAAACCCCATCCCTCACTGGGTCCCTTCACCCCTTCCTAGGTTCCCTCCCCCCTCTCTGAAGTCCCATCACATTCCCCAGCTCTCACCATCCCCTCCCTTGTGTCCCTGTACCCTCCCTGGATTCAGCCCCCTCCCTCACCACGTGTCCCTTCCCTGACCCCCCAATCCTTCCTCGGAGTCCCTTTCAAGACCCCCCAGTCTCTTCGCAGCCTCTCCCTCACTGGGATCCCTCTCTTCCCCTCCCTTACCCCGCAGGTCCCTCACTGTCCCCTTCTGTCACCCCCTCCCACAGGGGTCCCGCTCTCGGGGGTGTCCCTGTCAGCACAACCCCCCAGGGGACAGGTGGCACTCGGGGACCGCCTGGTGCTGAGCTGCACGGTGGCCGCAGGGACAGGTCCCCTGTCCTTCTCCTGGCACCAGAAGGGCTCAGGGACACTGCTGGGCACCAGCCCCCACCTGGAGCTGCACCACGTTGGGGACAATGACAGCGGCCAGTACCGGTGCCGGGTCAGCAATGGGTACAGCGTGGCTGAGAGTGACCCCCTGAATGTCACCGTCCTGGGTGAGCGGGACCCTCGGGCTGGGGGTGACCCAACCGCAGCACCCCCATCCCACCTCACCCAGTGCCAGCCTTCTTTATGTCCCCACAGTGCCTGTGGCCAATGCCACCATCATCCCCAGTCCCCCATCACACCAGGTGCGTGCAGGTGACCCTGTGACCCTGCGCTGCTCAGTGCAGGTGGGCTCAGCCCCTGTCACCTTCACCTGGCTGCACAACGGGAAGGAGGTGGCCCAGGGTCCCCTCCTGGAGCTCAGGGCCATCGATGTGGGACATTGGGGCACCTACCAGTGCATGGCCAGCAACCAGCTGGGACAGGACGGGCACCGCGTGTTCCGGGCACTCAGCCCTGAGCTGGCCCTGGAGGCGACAGCGTGGGACACAGAGACACACAGGGTCACAGGTGGGGTCATACAAGGTTACTCGGGGATGCAAGACCCCGGGGGTCATGGGTGACCCTGACGTGTCCCCCTCTGTTTCTTGCAGTGGCTACAGGGGTCAGTGGGGCCCTTTTGTTCCTGCTCGTGGGTGTCATTGTGGCCTGGCACCGGTGGCACCGTATCGGTGGGTGACAACGGGGACGGGGGTCCCAGGGAGTTGTAGAGGCCCACATAGTTGGGGAGCGATAGGGCGGCACCCACGGCCCCAGAAATGTGACTTTGGCTGGGAGTCCTGTAGGGTTTGGGCAGTGTCTGGATGGTCCTGCAGGGATATTGGGAGTTCTTCACGGGGGCCCTGGGGGTGTTTGGTGGTCTTTGTCCCAGCTGGGTTTGGGTGCTTGAGGCTGACTTGGTTGGGGCCACTGGAGAGGTTCACAGATTCTGGGGGGTTTCAGGGATGCTTGGGCATCCCATGGGGGTTCAGCAATCCTGACAGGGGTCAGGGCCCTGGGACCCCACAGTGACTCCTCCTCTCTTTCTTTTGCAGCTGCCAGGAAGCTCAAGGAAAGGTGAGTGGGGAGCTCAAACCACACTCTCCCCTTTTACCCGAACCCCCTAAGATCTCCCATTCCCTCCCCCACATCCCCTTTATTCCCTCAGGGCCCCCCCGGATCCCTCGGCCCCCCCAGAGGAGGGGGAGGTGCTGTACACCCATGTCGTGGTCACCAAGAGGGCAGGGGGTGAGTATGGGGGGGACACACGCAGAGGGACACGTCACCCACCAGTGTCACCCCACCCAGATCCCACAGCCCGTGTCTCTCGCAGTGTCCCCCCGTGCCACCACACTCCAGGATCCCCAGGTGACCTACGCGGAGCTGCGGGGACCCCAGGGGCGACTGCGGGAACCCGGTGACATCTACGGGAATGTGCTGTGACCCTGGGGGGAACTGGGGGCACTGGGGGTCCCCACCCATGGGCACCCACTCGTGTCTGTGCTGCCACTAAAAACTGCCCCAATCCCTCCCCGTGGGGGCACAAAGATCCCAAAGGACTGAGAGAAGAAGAATTTCCTGAAACTGTAATGAGAGAGAATAAAATCAATAGCAACAGCAACAAGGTTCAGAGTCCAAATTGTCACACAAGGAACGATTTCCTGGGAAAGCCAGCAAAAAGGAACAAACCTCAGACCTTTCCCCCATCACATTTCTCTCACCAGAGGAACCTGGCAGAGCCCTGGACCTTCCTTGCTCTGATGGCCAAAGCGGCCTTCAGGAGGCTCTGGATTCTCTTGTTCCCTGTCCCAAACCCCTCCTCTGCCGTGTTCCCCAAACGAGGATCTCACAAATGCCCTGTGGGGGTTCTGGAGCCTTCCCCTTTCTCAGGGGAGTCAGGATCAGGCCATGGCACAGGGCGGGGTGTCAGAGACAGGAAAAGTTTGATGTCTGGAGGTATTTTGGAACACCTCCATGTGGCAGGGGTGGGTCAGGCCTTGCTTTTGGTGAGACAGGACCCCACCTGTCCATCAATCTGTCAGCCATGGCACACTGGGGACAGTGTGACGCTCTTCCAAAGCCAGCTCCTGAGTGGCCGGGTGACCAGAAGTGCCAGCTGGGAAGAGGGCCCGTGGTGGCCCAACTGGCTTTTAAATGGCAGAGCATGAGGTGGCCAAGTCCCCGACCCTGTCTCCTCTTGCATCGTCTGTCCCATCGATGCTGGAACCCAGGAGCTGACAACTTGTTTCAATGAGAAAAATCTGCTCAGGAAAGGGGGAACATTCCTGGAATGGAAAGAAGACCATACCTAAAATTTTCTTTAATTTTAAAGATTATGGGGCTTCCAGGCAGAACTGTAGGGAAAGCAATAACAGGTCATTACTGGGAAATTTATAAAGCAGAAGAGAACCAACAACACAAACCCAGAACTTTCCCTCCCGCTCAGCGCTGTTGGTTTTTGTGGCAGTTATAACCGCGGCCAGCAGGGGGCGCTGCAGGGAGCACTCCCGGCCAGCAGGGGGCGCCCCGCTCCAGCTCCATTCCCTCAGGGGCCATGGCGGCCTCGGGCAGGAGGGAGGAGGGGAAATCGCTCCTTTTGCAAACTCACGGCCTCCAATCGGTCCCAGCACCACCACCGGCAGCGGGCAGAAGCCGCCAAGGCAGCAGGTTGGATCCCAGTGCCCACTGGCAGCGTAGCAGTGTCCCGGGGCCAGGCACACGCCCTGCACAACACCCGCAACCACTCTCCATGTTCCCAAATGGAAGGAAGGCAGCACCTGACCCTGGGCAGTTCTCGGGTCCACAGCAGCACCTCTGGTGGCTTTACACCACAATTCCTGCAAACCCTCAGCCTTTCACTAGGTGAGAAATGCAGGGATGGAGCAGCTTTGGGGACACCTGGAATCCAGACAGGGTCACTCCCCAGAGCTCCACCATGGTCGCAGCCAGAGCCCCTGCTCGGTATTTCCACATTTTCCCTCTTATCTGATGGCCACAGCCTGAGAACAAACAGTCTTTCCATGAGGTACCTCAAGGCTGCAGGCTTTGTTCAAGAGGAGGGTCCAGGGCAGCTTGTTGAGCAGATTGGTGCGGGATTTGCTCTTCTTCTGGAGCTCTCTCAGTCCCTTACCAAGAGGAACAAATGATCAATTGCTGCATTTCTGGACTGGTTCCCTCACAGCTGCCCCTGCAGGGGCAGTTACCAGCCAGTCCTGCTCTGAAAACCATCAAAGGTCTTCTCAGAGCCACTGTTTGAGCTCCCATCAGGGTTTCTGCTTCTTTCAGAGCTGCAGAAACCACAGGCAGGGCCTTCCCCCCCATAGAATTCTCACCTTTGCAGCAGCTCTAAAGCTGCCAGAATCAAAGCCAAGGGGGCCGGGGAGACCCTCAGGTGCTGGCTGCCACCTGGGGCTGGGCAGAGCAGGGCTGGGCAATGGCCATCCCTGTGCAGTGGGGCTGGGCCATGGCTGGGCATCACCCTTGGATGGCCACTGGCTTCATGGAGCAGGAGTCTGTGTCTCCTTCCTGGCTCGGGCTCCATTCCCCAGCTCCTCTTGCTGGCTCAGATTCTGCAGGGGACGAGCAAGAATGGAGAAGTCTGGACCCCTCCAAAGCTGCCATGCTCCAGGACAGAAGCCCCTTGTCCATCACGTGTCCCCCCTGGGACAGGATCCCCCCAGGACAGGAGCCCCCTTGATGTACCCCCCCAGGACAGAACCCCCCCTCTGTGTGACAAACGTGTCAAACAGCCTCTTCCTTCTGCTGCGGGAGAGAGAAAGTGAAAGTGTTGGGGGTGTAAAAGCTGGGCACCCCCATCCCCCACAGCCTCCCCAGCCCTCCCTGCAGACCCCTCACCCCTGCTTCCCCCACCCTGGGCTTCCCCCAACTCGTTCCCTGCTCAGGGCCCCCAAGGATCATCAAGGCAGCAACTGGGGGACTGTCGCAGACATCTTTCATGAAAAATCCTTTCTTAGGATTTTTCCTTGTGAGAAGCTGCAGTTTCAGCAACCAAAAGTAAACAATGGTTATCTGCTGCTGTGGAATTCAACAGGTAGACCTGTGATTGGTCTCCTGTGGGTGTTTGGATTTCCTGACCACTCATGGCAGAGCTGGCTCTTGCTCTGTCTGAGACACAGATCTTTGTTATTTCATTCTTTTCTATTCTTAGCTTAGCTAGCTTCTGAAGAAACCCTTTCCTTTCTATTGCTTTTTAGTATAGTCTTAATGTAACATATATCATAAAATAATAAATCAAGCCTTCTGATCATGGAGTCAACATTCTCGTCTCTTCTTCATCCTGAAAACCCTTGTGACCAGGGTCACAGGGGGCTTGTGAAATTTAGGGGTAAAATGATGGAAATGGAAATGAAGAGCGGGAAAAGTCACTGGGGCTGTGGGAACAGACCCAGAGCCCCTTGGAATCTTTCTGGGGTGATCCTGCAGGTGTATTTCCCCCGCCTATTTATGCATCTGCTCTTCTAAGTGTTCCTCAGCACTCTGGATATGCCAGAGGATGTCGATACCTGTGGGAAGTTAGGGACAGGCAATCGGACAGGCAATCACGTTGTACAGGCAGACAGAACCCCTCCCCTCAGCTCTTAAAGTTATTTAGCCCCCTGTTTGTTGGCCAGTGACCCCCATTTGTGATGCAAGCAGAAACGAGGTTATATAACCCCATGTAAACAGTTAATAAACGCCATTTTGCCATCCACCATATAAGTGTCTGTGAGCACATGGCCTGAGCAGCTGGAGGTTTGCCGCCGTGCCGTTCCTGAACCAGGTCAGTACATCTCAGCGGAGGCAACAAGTGGTGCCAAAACCTAGGAAATTAGCCGGGAAACAGGAATCTCCTGGACGGGTGAATGGTGGCCGTAGTGGCTGTGCCTGCTCGGCGGGGAGGACGCTCCTGGAACAGCGAGGAGGATGGAAGCTCTCGCGAAGGTCGTATTTCAGATCCATAAGTAATGGGGTATTGATTGTAATCCAAAAGACTTTACCCTCACAGTGTCGAGGCTGTTGCAAATTGGGGTCATTGACCAGACGATGAACATACTCGACCCAAAAATATGAGATAAATGTACCAAGGCTCTAGCCAAGGAAACAATGTCCTCAGGTTTGGGGAGAAATCTTAAATCATGGGGAAAAGAGGTACAGGCTCTGCAAAAGGCTCGGCAAGAGCAGGAAACTTGGAAAGCCGCGTGGGACTGTTTGCCAGCAGTGCCCTGGCTGGGTGTTGGGGCAACTCCGCAGACTATGGGCGATTGTGGTTCTGCCGAGTGCAAGGATTTGCAGCCACGGGGACTCTCTTCACAGCTCCCGAGCCCAAGCCCACCGGCTGAGGGATAAGAGCAGGTGGGGTCTTTTTGGGACGGGCTGTCAGGGGAGGCGAGGAGCGCCACCATTAACTTGGAGTCTGAGGGTGCCTGGGAGGGACCTCCGCCTTACGCACCACAGGGTAGTGCCGAACCCCAGAGAGACGGGGGGGACACGGACGCGGTCGGTGGGAATAGAGAAGGTTTGCAGGACAGCACAGACACGTGCGAGCAGGAAAGAGGGTAGAGATGTGGAGGGGGAATCAGAGCCCCTCAGAGCGTTCGTTTGGAAACATATTCCTGTAAGAGGTGAGCCTCCCCCACCAGGAGGCAGGGCGAGCCTAGAGGGAAGGAGCTGCCCAATGCTAGAAAAAAGGGGCGGGGTCAAAGCCTGAAAAAAAGGCTCTGGAGTCCGTAAGTATCCAGTCAGTCGACTTCCGGACCTGAGTCAGACTCGAGCTGGGATGAGTGGTTAGACAAGCGGTCCGTAGCTGACTCCGATTCCGACTCCGACAAGGAGGGAGCGAGAGTATGTAAGATTAGTAATCACAACACTCCTGCTTGGGTTAAGGGGAAGTTAGAAAAGAGACGAACTCCACTTACAGACTGGAGGAAAATAAAAATAGCATGCGCCAATTGGGCCCCATCAGCCACGCTAGCTTTCCCGGTCCGAGTGGGGGGGCACGGCGGAAATCAGAGAACCTACTCGCCAGTAAACCCTAAGGATGTGCAAGCCATTGTTAAAGCAATTGCAGACAGAGGGATTAATTCAGCTATGGTTTCCACTCTTATCGATAGCGTTTTTGGAGGAGATGAGTGCTCCCATTTGATATTAAATGAACTTGCAGATTAATTTTAAATGGGGCAGGGATGATCATTTTCAAATAGGAATGGGAGGACAACTGCACAAAGCAACTAGCCTTAGTGACTGGGGCAGACCACCCACTGCACGGTTCTAGTATACAGCGGTTAATGGGTACATGTCGTGAACGGCGGGAGAAATGCGACACACCATATGCGTGAATAGCAAATCCCGAAGTTTATTGAAAACCCACACATATTTATATTGGTGTTAATGAAGCTTATACATATTGCAAAAGCTGAGCTCATTATTGGTTAAAGCACACTTAG